CAATGGCATGTATTAAGACATCTCTGACAAGTATTATTTATGAGCTGAAAGAGAATGGTAAGCACAAGATTGTTGTATGTTAGAGTAGCTATATGTGAGATTATGACTAATCTGTCATTTATAAAAGGAAACAGGTTCCCACATGAAATTTAGAATAAAAGCTTAATCCGTCTACTTCTTTAAGTATATGCTAATATGGCAAAGCAGTGGTTAAGGGCTTTAAACTACTAAGAAAACACTAAAGACTGATTGTAAAGTATCTCAATTAGATTAAAATCTAAATTTATATCAAACTGGGATTGCAGTACATACATCCTTTAGAAAGAGAATTGTGAACTCACTGGCTTCTATAGGCATATTTCAGTGTAGTTTCTGAAATTTTTAGCTTTTTGTAAAACCAGTGTGTGTGATGACCTTTTAAGGTTTATTATGCTAAAATTCTTTTAAGGTTTATTATGCTAAAAAAAAAAAAAGGTAAGCAACAGCTGACCTTGCAAACTTAAGAAATCTTTTAGAGTATATATATGAAAACCACAAGTTCTGTTAGTTGACTTCAGGCAGTTAAGTTTTGAAGGACTTGGGTGAATACCTACAATATATTGGAATAAAGCCTTTCTAAGACACATAAGTTACTTATTTCCCCTTAATCCAGACAAAAGTGATGAAGCTAGAAATGGCCCAGTTTCACATGTAAGCTTGTGGTGAAACTAGGTATGAATTTAGGAGGAGTCTAGAATGCTTTTACTTCTGCTCTCTCTAGTCTCATGAAATTGAGAGGCCTGTCAGTTGACTAGTGGCTTTCCCACTGCGTTCTAAGGCTCTACAGACCCTTTAGTTTGGCAAAAACTTGTAACTTACCTCACATTTTGATCTGATGCTATTTCTTTGTATTTTGTAAGTAACTATTAGCTTCCTGTTGTAACATTTTTCACAAGTTCAGTGGCATGCATTAAGATTTAGACATCTCTGACATGGGATATTATTTATGAGCTGAAAGACAATGGTAAGCACAAGATTGTTGTGTGTTAGAGTAGCTAGAAAAAAAATAATTAAAAGTTTGTTTTTGCATGAGGAATCAGTCATCCCCTTATACATCTGGGTGGTTCTGTTTTAATTTTGTTTGGAAAGAAGTTCTCTGCCCAAAGTATTTGAAATACTTGTCCTAGAAACCTGAGACCTACCTAGAATGAATATGTATGAGCACATAAAGATGAGGAGATAGTGATTTATATTTGTCTGTGGGGGAGATTATTTTCAGTTATACTTCTATTCCTAATGCTGTTTTGTATCCTAACCTTGAAAATGATGTTGAGGTGATGGAACATACATGCTACTAATAGGTTGGGGAAGTGGTTAGAGTTAAAATTTGTCACCGAAACATGTATAATCTACACTATGTTGCACAGGGTTCACGCCCCACGAGCAGCTCTCACTGGTTTAAAGGCTGCCCTAAACATGATGTAATGACAGGTTAAACCTCTGCATGAGGCTGATGCAATGCAAATCTGAGGCCCAGGACTTTATTGGGGCAAGGGTAATGCTTGTTTAAAAACAAAACCAGCTCCTCTGCTTAATGGGGCTGCTTAAGATGACTTTCCCAGAACGGGAAGGAAGAAAATGTCATCTCAGTTTGGAGGTTGAAGTATAGTTTATTTTGGCTGTGTGTGTTTACTATGCTCACTGCAGTCATTTTGAAAGAGGGAGTAAAAACATGGTGCCAACAGCAGTAGAAACGGAGGGGTTAGAATTCAGGAACTAGGACAGTGGATGCTTGTAGAATAGTTACTGAATGAGTTCGGGGTGTTTTTAACCCTGTACAACTTCCCCAAGCTTAACCAGGCATAGTGTAGTAAAGAATGCCTTTCTGGTCATATTTCCCATGTGTTTCCCTCTAGGTTGAAATCATAGGAAATCTGATCATTTTGGCCTACAAAAAATGCAGTGATTCAACCTAAATTTTAGCGGTGGAAATGCTGAGAAATCCTGGGAATTGGTGATGCTGGGGCGGGGTGTTTGAGGAGGAGTTATGCGGCAGAAAACTGTTGTGTTGGGAGGCTCCATCCCTGTGGGGTGGGGCTGTCTGCCCCACCCCTGCGCGGTCTGCTGTGGGCCTTGTTCCCGGCGCCTGGCAAACCTCAGAGCTGGCTTTCCCAGCTTGCCTCAGTCCTGCCTGTGGACTGGGGCCCATCTTCACTCAAAAGCCCTCTCTCAGCGAGCACCTCTTTCCCTGTGGCCCTGCAAGCTACTTCCCAGTCTTATCTTCAGAACTGCTCGGAACCAGGGAATCTGAGGAAGACAAATTTCTGAGACAGATGAAGTTTAAAAGAGCCCTTTCGGCCCTCCCTGGTGGTGCAGTGGGTTTAAAGCACAGCACTGAAAATCTAAAGCCGCTTCCGCATGAGTTCGATTCCCGCCTGCCCTGGAGGTGACCACATGGCGCGGCAGACCTCTCCTGACCCGCCCGCTGCTCCCCTGAGCAGTGTACTTCGTCCATCTGCCTGTTCTGCTCCCCACTCTGTCTCTGGTGAAACCTCTCACTGCCCCTGAGCCTCTGGCCTGTACCCCAGTTCTATATGCACAAATAAATAAATCTTTAAAAAAAAAAGCCCTTTCAGGCTCCCATGTTTTGGAAACGCAGGCGAATTTGAGCTGGTAAAAGGTGTGGTAGGTGGGTCAACTTTCCTGGGACTGGAGAGACTGGCCTGTGTGGCCCGTGCTCCTGGGTGAATGGAGGACACTTCCTTTCTTGATAGCTTGACCCTCGGCGTGCTTACAAGTCAAGGCATCTGGGAGGGACCTCTGTTCCAAATTGTCTGTGCTTCTTGGGGAAAGAGGCTGCGATGCCTGACTTAGGATGGGGAAGTCACCGCCGAGCCTTCTCTGTACTCTGTGCTCCTGAAGGGTCGTCATGCACACGTTTACCAGCAGCTGGGGCCAGGAAGAGAACAGGAACTGCCATATGAGGGTGGGTTGCTTATACTGCTGAACTGGAAGTGTTGCAGGCCAGTGGAATCTGACTCGGCTAGGGAATGGCTGCAGTGTGACTGAGCCTGCAAGGATGTTTCTGTTAACCTGCTGTGCTTTTCTCAAGTTTAAATCCAACTCAGGTGACTTGTGTGGGGTTGTCCAAAAACTTGAGTTCTTGGTTCATACCTGCAGGCCAGCTGCGTGGTTGGGAATTCTTTCACTATTTGAAGATGGAGCTGAGTGTTTCATTGTGGGGAACTGGGAGAATTTTAGCAGCTGCTATCCCCAAATGCCTCCATTCACAATAAATCCTGGCCAAATTTACACCTTGAAGAGGAATTTTAACTATTTGATACAACACTCGGAAAAATGATAGGTATATTATTATACCATACTGAGCTATTGATGATAAATGTACAACTATTGCTAGATCAGGAAATTAAACAAAAGGGTACTCGGTTAGTTATGTTGCATATAAGCTGTTGATTACAGCCTTTCCATTTGATTAGCTGCTTGGGATTAGTGGTTTCAAAGACATGGGAGGTTTAGACCTTTTTTGCCCAGGGAATCACTGTGCACCAACTGTGTTGCTCATTTAAGTGAGCAGAGTAAAACAGGCTGTGAAACAGACATCAGCACCGCTCAGGCTGCCTCCTACCCCTTTTTAACAGAGGGCCTGACCTGTATGGCCTGCCATGCATACAGATGGGTGCCCACATTATACAGAAGTTTCTTGATAGTTCTTTTATTGGGTAGGACATCTGGGTCATGCCGGCACTTCATATGATGAGTCGATTGATGTCCTAAATCCATGGGATAAGCTACACTGTGATGGAATTTTGTTTCTCCTTGAACTTTAGACTATTCATTTTTAGTGCAGCCCTCAGCCCTCATTTAAGGTACCTGTTATGGATTGATGTAGAACCAAAATTGCATTTACTTTGGCCACTTTTTAAGCAGCATTATTTTCTCAAAGTTAAATTTTGTATAGCAATCATTGTAGTTAAGAAAGTAGTAACATTTTAATTTTAGAGGAAGATGGTGATAGTATAGTTTTTGGGAGTTCTAGGACAACAGCAGACTGCTTGTTCTTTTGTCAGACCACAAGAGAAATAGTGGCCTATTGCATCTCAACAGAGGTAGATTTCTGGGGAAAGGTGCTTTTTTAAATCTTAGATTCAGCTTGACAAGTCAGTTTCATTGTTCTTCATTTCATTGAGATGACATTTATCTCTTTAACGTTTACTACTTACTCTTGCTGCTCAGCAGCGCTTGTTAGCCCTAGGTACATGGACTTCTTTGACCATATCCCCAGTGTGTTTATGTGTTCTACCTTTTGCTGACTTTGTCCTTTGCTTGCAAGATACAGCTTATCTTGTGGAATGGAATTAGAGTGGAATAATACTATGTTCTCCAAATACCAGACTGAAAAACTTTTGAGGGTGGCTCTCCATTTCTCTATCCCTTAACTTTCTTTGGGGGTGCGGAGCACTGATTAGTAGGAAGTACAATACCTGTTAGCGTTCCAGGGGAAGACTTGACTTGATGGCACGGTGGTCACAGGCTCTTGCCCTTGTGGCCCCCTCCTCACTCCCCACACAGCCCACTGAAGCACAACTAGGAGGAGCTAATCAGAGCCAGCCATTGGCCTCCTGTACATCTCTATTGTTAACAAGTGACTCAGAATGGGAAATCAGTAGACCAAGTAGGGGGATTGAAAAGGAGAAGAGAGTAGTGTTTAGTTGTTTATGGCCTGGTTTCTCTCTCAGCCTGGTAGTCCATGTAGTCCAACGCAGGGCTGTTTGTATGACTTTGTAAAGAAACAATTTTGAAAAGCGGCATTCGGTTCCTAGTCATCAAAATGCATATTTATGTTTCATTTTTTAAGCCGTAATTATTTTCCTTTATTCTTGAGCTCCTCAAGTTTGTGTGAAACTTTAGTTTACTGGCATGCAAACACTACTAATAAGGCAAGTTACAGTTCTCATTATTGCTTCCCTACCTCCATTTACTTTTATTCATATTTGTTACAGAAATGAGCCGTCAGACTGCAACAGCACTGCCCACTGGAACCTCCAAGTGCACGCCGTCCCAGAGAGTGCCTGCGCTGACGGGCACAACCGCCTCCAACAATGACTTGGCCAGTCTGTTTGAGTGTCCCGTCTGCTTTGACTATGTGCTACCACCCATTCTCCAGTGTCAGAGTGGCCATCTTGTTTGTAGCAACTGTCGCCCAAAGCTCACATGTTGTCCCACTTGCCGGGGCCCATTGGGATCCATCCGCAACCTGGCTATGGAGAAAGTGGCCAATTCAGTACTTTTCCCTTGTAAATATGCCTCTTCTGGGTGTGAAATAACGCTGCCTCACACAGAGAAGGCAGACCACGAAGAGCTCTGCGAGTTCAGGCCTTACTCCTGCCCGTGCCCCGGCGCTTCCTGTAAGTGGCAGGGCTCCTTGGACGCCGTCATGCCCCACCTGATGCATCAGCACAAGTCCATCACGACCCTGCAGGGAGAGGACATAGTGTTCCTTGCTACAGACATTAATCTTCCTGGTGCTGTTGACTGGGTGATGATGCAGTCCTGCTTCGGCTTTCACTTCATGCTAGTTTTGGAGAAACAGGAAAAATACGATGGTCACCAGCAGTTCTTTGCAATTGTACAGCTGATAGGAACACGCAAGCAAGCTGAAAATTTTGCTTACCGACTTGAGCTAAACGGTCATAGACGGCGATTGACTTGGGAAGCGACGCCGCGCTCTATTCATGAGGGAATTGCGACAGCCATTATGAATAGTGACTGCCTAGTTTTTGACACCAGCATCGCACAGCTTTTTGCAGAAAATGGCAATTTAGGCATCAATGTAACTATTTCCATGTGCTGAAATGGCAATCAAACATTTTCTGGCCAGTGTTTAAACCGTTGCATTCAGTTTCACAGAGAGCAAGGCACCTGTCCGCCTGCCAACCTGAAACTTTGGTCGGTGGAAGCTAGACACGTGAAGGTAAATAAAAAGAAAGGCTGTTAAATACAGGAAGCAGTTGCATGTAGTAACACTAATATATTTAAAAATAAGTCAACAGTAAACCACTGAAAAAATATATATATATACACCCAAGGTGGGCATCTTTTGTATTAAGAAAGGAAGCATTGTAAAATAATTCTGAATTTGTGTTTGTTGTAGATTGAGTGTACTGTTGAAAATCCTGGGCTTCTGTTTTTGCGAGTGTGTGAGAGCGTGCGTGCAGCTTGTGTGTGTGGTTTTATCCCCCCTTGAACTGACAAGCCATGTTGCGTGGTCCTGGACCACTGCTTTTCCCTTTGTGAGTTAATACATAGTGCTGCTGTGTTACTTTGTGTGTGTATTTGCTAATTTTTATTAATTCTAGTTTTTCATTAAATAAATTGACTTTCTTTTCTGTAATTCAGACTTTTCCTCCCATTTTTTTGTACCTTTTTAAAGTTAGTGTCCTTTTTGATATGCATAATTGTTTATGGTAAAGTTCATACATTTGTGTTCAATACATACTTTCTTTCCCACCATTAATCAATCCATTAGAAATATTTTAATTCAGCTATTTTGTTGAAGGGTTCCAGAAAAGAAAGGTAACATCCGTATTACCCAATAAAATATTTCAAGCAGCTATTAGATGGTTTCTCTTTTCTCTCCAGTTGAGTCATACCATTAAACTTATTCTTTGTAAGGTTATGGAATACTGATTTTTTTTTTTTTTTAAATACTGAAGAAAAAAATCAGGCTTCCTCTTCCCCAAATTTCTTGGACAAATCACATGTTTGAAATTTGTTATTGTATCTATTGGTTTTGCAAAAGAAGGCATCATCTAACACAGTATTTGTAATTAAAAGCAAATCATTTGTTTAAAAAGGCAGATTGCAAAAAAAAAATGTTTTTGGTCTTTTATAATTCTCATTAAAAGAATATCTGGCAAATTAAAAACTGTGATGTGTCTGCTTTAGCTTCAAGTTTGGTTACAATCCAGAGTTGTATTTTGAAATGTGGGTAGTTTTATTCTAAAGCACAGCAAAAGTGGTAATGCTTATTTGGATTATCTAAGTCTTGTGTTTTTTTTACTCCTGCTTCTTGATTACATTTTAATCTTCACGATTTAGTCGAGAGTAACTAGTTAAAATGCTAATCGCTGGATCACTTACATTTCATAGTCTGAGTTGTGAGCCTGGGCTCTGCCAACTGGCCTCCAGGGCTCTCCGGGCCAGCCCTGCCCTTGGTCCCATTTACCAGCCGCAGGACCACTGGAGCCAGCTTCCTGATGTCTAATGGGATTAATTGCCTCAAAGGGTTAATGGGATTAAACACCTGAAAGGGTTTATGGGATGCAGGTAAGTTTTCTAGAACAGGGTTTTGCACGGATGTACCCAACACAAGTTAGCTGTTTTGTTATCCTGTAAATCCAGGTCCTTGCTTCTTAACACGTTCAGAAAAAATGCTTTCCCTTTTTTCTTTAGATTTATTTATTCATGAACACAGGACTGGGGTGCAGGGCAGAGGTGCAGGGGTGGTGAGTGGATTCGCCACTCAGAGTGGGGAGCAGAACACGCTGACCAATGAAGTCCACTGCTGAGGGGAGCAGCGGGCGGATCAGGAGAGGTCTGCCGCGCCATGTGGGTCAGCTCGGGGCAGAGATCCATAGAACTTGCACCGGCGGCAGCAGCTTGCAGTGCTGGGTCCTAATCTGTTGTGCCACCAGGGAGGGCCTAGTATTTTGTTTTTATGGAGGTTTAGTTTTGTTTTTTAAACATTTTAAAATAATGTTCTCAAAGTGCAGACTTTGAAAGTTAGAAAGTAACTTAGTAAGTTAGTCTTTCAGTTTACTGCATTTTAATTTTCTAGGACATTTCCATGTTTTTTTCCATGTGCTCACACACATCTGTTTGGAAGCCATGTGATTTTGGATCGTGTAATTAACTCCCTTGCATACCCCACACATGATCATTTAAATCCATCACTTAAATTGTGAAAAAACACCATTTTGGGTAACTTTAGCTAATTTCCTGTTGGATGTGTCTTTTCTATGTAAAAAGTTTTTGGCTATTTATAAAACAACCTGTGAACATTTCTGTGTGTTCTGATTTATTCTTAGGACTTTTTTTTAAGGTCTTGATATGTCTATCAGTGCTTTCTGAAAGCTTTTGTGAACACAACCATGTGAAAGACTTTCTAGTCATTATCACCTCATGTTTGCTGATTTACAAATTAAGACACTTGACAGCTCAGTGAGACTGACATACAACTGTCAACTCGTCACTTAAGTCACCTTCATAGTGTGTGCTGAGCTCTGCTTGACCATTGATACTCAGGCTGTCTCGTTCTTGTTCTACATCGTCTTTAGCATTTACCCTCCCGTTACCGCCCTCCTCTCCTCTTTGGTGTCTGGTCTCTTGGGAACACAGAGGGTGGTGATTCTTTTTAACTTTGTCCTTTACAGAATACAGAACTACTACTGCTTAATGTCTTAGTATTTTGAATGTTCTACTAGAATCATAGGCCAGTCTGATAGGTTGTTATTGGGGAAATCATCTGACATGTTTCAGTGTATCTTCCTAAGGGGCATGTGACCGTCTCATTTCAGCGGAAGGCCAAATCCATGTGACCATCTCAGTAGATGCTAAAGAAGCTTTTGACAAAATCGATTGCCCCTTGCATGACAAAAATGCCTGAATGAGGAGTAGCTACCCTAATAGTATATGTAAGGGGACTCACAGGTAACACTGAAAGTGGTAGGGAAAGACTGGCTGCTCCTACGCTCAGGAGCATGACAGGCACAGCCGCCCTTGGCCCTTCTGCTCCAGGACAGAGGCAGGCTTGTATTGGCCACCAGTGGCGGGCCCGGGAAGTCACTGTTCAGAGGACGGAGTTTCAATTTAAAGTGGCCAAGTTTCAGAGTGATGTCTGCAGGCCTTTGTGAACGCGAGTAGCCAGAAATGGATAAATGGCAAATTTTGTCACAATAAAAAGTGAAAGTGCTTAAATCTAAAACTGAATGCCAGAGAAGTAAAGGTCGTACCATCGAAGGTCACGCACATCTTGCTTTCTCAGTTGGCTAAGCAAGGACAGACCCAGAGGGGTCCCTCGGCTGCTGACAGCAAGCGCACAGCGGCATGTCTAGGCTTAAGGCAGAGCATGCACAATTCCCACTTTTAAAATTGTGTCTTTTGCCACTGATGATTGAAGTAAGGCAGCGCCGTCTGGCTTCTGGAAATGTCCAACTTACTTTCCTTCTGCACGATGACTGAACAGAAATAATAGACGAAGCCAGTTGAATGTCTTAGTATTGCTTCTTCCCACTTGTCCTCACAGAACAATTCAGGTTTTACTAGCAGGTCCAAACACAGTATTTTGGGTAATTTGCAGACCCGATTCTCAGCTAAGAAATTCCAACGTATCTTAACATACTTGTTCTTACGTTTTGTAATACGTGATTCGGAAGTACATGACTGGCTGGAGTAATTACAAGTTACTCAATGTTATTTTATTCTAGCTTAATCTTACAATAACAGTACTATTATAGTATTTGCATTTTACAGATGAGGAAAACATACAAAGTCCATGTAGCTTCCTCCTAAGTAGAAGATCCTGACCTCGTTATCTAAACCCTGGGCGGGGTGACGGGGGAAGGAGGCTGAGTAGTTGGGAGGTGGCGGGGGACTGGGTTTTCCTCTAAGGTAACAAGCATCTGGGGTGCATGTGAGGAGGCCTTCTCTGCCTCAGGAACTGTGTTGGGATGTATAGTATTTTCCATAGGGACTATCAATTGGTTCTGTTTTCTTTGGCCAAGTTCTCTGACTTTCAGGACCCAGTAAAGTCAACAGGGTGTCTGCTAAAGTAGTGGCCCATGTCTGGCTTCTGTCCTTGACTGCACAAGAACCTCATTACAGCAGGTTTGTGGGCCCCACTCCCAGAAGGCCTGCTGGTGGGAAATGAGAATTTACATTTCTAGCAGGTTCTTGGGTAATACAAATTCTTCTGGGTTCTAGGGACTCACTGAGAACCATGGCTCTACACCTTTCCAGAATAATGACAACACCCAAAATGAGAATTCAATTTGTCAATTTATTACATTAAAATTTTATGATACACACCAATCCCCACTTGATTGAGGTTCATTCATGTGATTATGCTTGCAATATGGGGTATTCTGCTTCTCCCCACTGGCGTGGATAAAATCAGCCTTGTCAGTGCTCTTTAGTACCCTTTCACTTCAGAGGGACTTGAAGCCTACAGTTTGCTGCTGCTTAGGAGACCAGGCCTGGTCTTGACCGAAAAGCCACCGTCAAAGGCTGCGTTTAGGACTTCATCCAGGCAGCTGGCGGTCACGAAAGTGAGATCCTGCCGCACGTTGCCTGGGATTTCTTCAAGGTCCTTTTCGTTCCTCTGAGGGATGATGACACGCTTGAGTCCTGCTCTGTGTGCCGCCAGCACTTTGTCTTTAATTCCACCCACCTAGGAGGACATACAAGAAGTTAAAAAGGCTGAGACTCCTCAGCTGTGGGAAAACCCTGGCCCACCTTTCTTCTGAGCCAAGGGCTATCTGAAGGCTTCCGAGTGGCCTTCCATTTTACAGTGTGACCTGGGAAAGCTACTACAAAGGTTAATGCAACAACTTACATTTCAATTTGTGTTAAATTGTTTTGATGGAAGAAAATTCTTAGTTTTTGATAGGTATGAACATCTCTTCTGTCCCCTTTTTAGTCAGGGTTAACCTATTCCATCCCATAAAGCCAACAATCTCACCTAAAGGTGGGTTCTGAAAAACATTTCCTGCCATGGAAGTTTCTGAAGTTGTAACCTCTGGGCCACTTGAAGTTTCAGTTCATTGTACAACTAGAGCCTTGTGGTTTTAAATAGAGCCACAAGGGTCCCTTCAAAAGGCAGAATGATCCCTTTCTCGAATATGGGTCAGGTTTAGCGACTACAAGAACTAGTGAGTGGTGAGATTGGTGATCCGTGGTTTCCAAGGTTGAGTGATACAACAAATGCAAGTTGGCCTGCATCTGTGTCCTGGAGTCCCTAGCTGCCATGTCTGAGGCCATCCACAGCCCATGGAGAGACCCAAAGCTGAGGAACTGACCCGACCCCAGGACTAACTTTGCTAGTGATGAGAGACCTGCACTGGAAGCAGGTTCTCTTGTCTTGGGCAACCTGGCTGGTACTTTGATGATACGACGGCAGAGAAGTAGGCATGAGTGAGCTGGCCAGCAGGGCCCAGCTAAGCCGCTCCTGAACTCCTGACCCAGAGACAGAATAGTCATTGCTGTCTTGGGGTGGTTGGTCATGCGGCAACAGGGAACAGCTGCCCATCAGCCCATCGCAAACGTGTGATCCCTGGCAAAGCCAATCAGTGCCCTCTAGCCACCTGCTGCAATCAAGTCAGGACTAGCTATTTGAAAAATTAAAAATGGAAATACCATGACTCAGTTACTGCTATCTAGCGGAAGAAGACAGACACCAGCTTGCAGACACACAGGTACCCCATGTTCATCCAGCGCCAACAGCTGGACACAACCTAAGTGTCCACGGGCAGCTAGTGGGGATAGGAGGCACCATCTGTCTACACAGTGCTGCTCGGCTCTAAGAGGAGAGGCCATCGCAACGGACTCACGCTAGGCCTCCGTGCTGAGCGGACCGTGCCACGCGGAATGAGAAAGCAGCAACTCCTAGGCTCTAACAGAGTGGCGGTGGGGGAAACAACACTCTGGGAACTGCAGTGCCGCACGCGCTCACGTACGGAAATACAACGCTGTGGACGTCAAACCGGTGAACCGAGGCCACCTCAATAAAACAGAAAGCCCAGGACCAGCTGCCCGCAAGGCCCATCTCCCCAGCCCATGCTCAGGCTGCCCTTGCCGGCAGCAGCAGTTCCTAGCGTGCGCTAACGTAGCCTGATGTCCTTTCAGAGGGCCCTTTTCAGGAAGAACGTGAGCTAGAGCAGCCCCTGACGTGGGTGAAAAAGCCCCGCCACTGGCAGCAGGTTTCAGATCACTTTCCTTCAGCCTTTAAAGGTGTTCCACATCTGGGCCCTGACGAGGAAGCTCCTCTGTGATGATCTGCAAAGTCCCGAGGAGAAAATCTTTTTCCTTAGTTGGTCCAGGCTTTTCAATCTCAAGATAATCTTAAATTTTAGGAATGCTGCACTGTTTCTTTGACAATTACATTTTCCATTTGCTAGAATTCCTGTTAGATGTTGGATCTGCAATTTTTTCTTCTATTTTTTTCTGAATAGTTGCTTGACTAACTCTAAAACCGCACTTTGAAGTCCAAGACCTTTGTCTTGCTTGATTTGCTGCTCCCTTTCTTCCTGTTCATGTAACAGTGTAAAAGTGAAGTCGTTCTCAAAGCTGGGTGGCTCTCTTGTTTGGGAGCGGGGAGGGGAGCCTCCCTCCTCTGAGAGCAGGGACCAAGTGGAGGACCCATGTGTTCTACAGGGTTCGAGGAAACTCCTGGCTCTCCATTACCTCCTTGCTGGTCTGCTTGGGCCTTCTGGCCCTGGGCCAGCGCTTTCCCAGACTCTGGCCGGGAAGATCCTCCCAGTCTGTCTCACCACTTTCTTCCAGAGGTTAGCTCAGCTACTCGCTGACGGCTCCCCACTCTCTTCCCATATTCTATATCCCCATAACTGACTGACTTGTTTTTGAGGTTTTAAGTTTTTCAAGTATTTTCTACATTGTGGCTCATGCTGGTGCCAGCCCTGCGGCCCTCCCAGCACACCGCACCGTGATCTGCTCTGCAGCCTGTGCTCTGCCCGCCCCTGCTGCGCACTGAGGCACACAGCAGCCAAGGCTTGTCTCTCTCCTGAATGAGGCCTGGGACGCAGACCGCCATACTAGGCTGCTCCCTCAGCAGCGCCCATGGGGCGAGGGCAGAGCGGTGCCCCCGTGTGTGAGGAGGCTGCTCAGGCGCCCTGACTAGAACCCCCCAGATCCCTCCACCGGGCCGGTTTCTGGGTTTTGTGCTTCCTCTTCTGAATGGATCGTCCTGTCCACTGCGGATGGCCACATGAAGCTGCTTCAGGTATTACAATTCTGGGGGTGGAAATTCCCAGAAATGTGACAGGAGCAGCTTCCTGAATAGGACAGACTCCAGTCCTCCCCATCGGCTCTCTCCCTCTATTCTAGTCCTGCCTAGAGACCCCATATTTTCCAGGACTAAGAGTTCCTTTGGGACTGCGAGGGCTAGCTCCTCCCTGGCTCAGGCTTTTCCCACCAGTGGGAAAGGAAGAAGCCACACTTAGCCCAAGGCAAGACTGGCTCAGGGGCTTGACTCCCCAGACTCTGAGGCCAGTGTAGAGCCCCGGGGGGCACCACCCACATCAACATCAGCCCCTCCGGGAGCCCTGTCTCTTGTGGCTCTGACCAGCTCTTTGGTTCTCCAGATAATGCGGTGCCCAGGGTCCACATCTGCATCCATCCTATCATTCCTCTGTGGGGTGAGACAGCTGTCCTGCGCAACAGAGTGAGGGGGCCGCCCCAGTGGCCAGGTGACAGCCCTGTGCTGGAGGTGGCCCCAGTGCCCAGAGGTGGCCCTAGCCCTCAGCTTGTGGCCCTGTGTGCACCCATTTTTGAGTCCGAGGTGGGGTGAAGGAGAGATCAACCATTCCTTTTGAGTCGAGATCTCCAAATACATCCTAACTGGATTTGGAATGTGCCTTTTGGGCTGAGTTTAAACGTGAGAATCAGTGATTCTCTGATCCTTTTACCATTACCTTATAAAATAAAGATGTTCCCAGAAGTAAAGAACATCCCCTTCCCGCTTCTTCATTTTCTTATGAACCTGCCAAATTCTGTTGTAGACCGGAACTGGTTAAATGATGACTTAAAAACTGAAGTCACCTCTCAGACTTTTGTGCATTTTATCTGTGTTTGTAAGTGCTTAGGGTATGGCCCAAGCCTTAGTTACAGAACTTTCTCAAGACCTGGCAATTAGACATGGCTTGTCTTCACTCCAATTTCCATTAGCTGTTTTTTTAATGAACCAATCAACTACAGTAACCTAAGTTACCTACCTCTTCTTTGGGGGATGGAAAAGCTCAGGAATTCCAAAAGATGAGAGAACTGGGTTTAATTTTAAAGATATCCTATTTCACACATAAGCTATATATTTAACAATTTGTTAGAGCAAAGTCTCAAATCTTTGAATAGTTGATACTTCTGATAACTAGACTGGCACCCCCCTCCCCTGTCACTCACTCCTTCTTAGAAAACATGGGAGAACAATTCTTATTTCAGTTGCTTGAAATGTAAAAACATGAGTTTGTTACAGTATAAACACTTAGCATGTATTTAAAGTGAAGGTATTCATCAAAAGAGGCAAACCATTATTTAAATTTAAAAATATAATTTGCATGCAGAAATTAATAGGCTTCTTCATACTTACTGGAAGAACAAGACCTCTGAGTGTAATTTCTCCAGTCATGGCTACATCGGAACGTACCAGCCGCCCACTAAAAAGCGAGGCGAGACAGGTTACTATGGTAACACCCGCAGATGGTCCGTCTTTTGTGACAGCTCCAGCTGGGAAGTGCAGATGGATGTCTGTGTTGTCAAGAAGATCAAAACTTCCAGAAGCTTTAAAAAGAAAAAGAAGACTTTAATGTAGAAAAATTAAACCTGTTTTCTTCTAAGAAAAAAAAAATCAAAGAAACAAGAAATACACGTTTTGGGCGAGTGGGTCCCTAACGTGGCAATGGGTACACCCAGAATGGGCTGCTGAGCAGGCTTCCAAGTCCAATTAAAACAAAACCAATCCTTGGAATGACAACAGTTTACAGTTCGGGCACTAGCCAAACAGTCCTAGAGTAGGAGCTAAAGTTTGCACAGGGGTTCAAAATCAAAGGTTTGTGGTTTTGGTTGTTTCTTAAAGATGTACCCGTTTATGTGTTTTGCTGAGGTGGAGAACGGTGCGCCAGGCTCAGCCCCCCCTCTGCGCCAGGGCTGGGAGGGCCCGACGAGGCCCGAAGCGCTCTTTGCCCTGCGCTGGTCACTCACCAGTGGTCAGGTGATACTTCTTGGCATTGCTGCGGAGCCAGCTGATGGCCAGGTGGGCCGACTCCTTCATGACGTTCCCAAGCTGGCCAGTCAGAGTTAGCTGCCCCTCGCCATCCATTCGACTTGCCTCCACGAACATGATCTGCCCACCCAAGGGGGTCCAGGCCAAGCCTATCGCCACTCCTGGTTGATTCAAACGCTCAGACACCTGGCGAGAAAGAAGGAAAATGAGCCAAATTATTTTCAGGCTGATTAACCTAATCTATGCTTTCGAGATTTGCTGCTCCCAGGAGGCCAAAGTTTAAGCCGCACATCAAAGTACTCGTTACCTCACGCGATCTGGAGTCACACTTAACACTCACTGCCTGGCTTTCTGCCAGGAGAAAACCAAAGCTTCCTCTTTGGCTTTGACCAGAGACAAGCTTGCCTCATATAAATCATTTGCGTTCTGAAGAGTCACATCTAGTTACACACAAACGAATTGTCGAGGAACAAACCCAGACGCTCACCTATCCCGATACTCTTTAGCAGGTTGCGTATCTGTAACTTATTTCAGACGCTCAGGTCATCTCGGGCAGCCATGCCAGCTGCACAAGTGGCAGCCCTTTCTCTAACACACAGAGCGCGCGCTCGCCCAGAGGCCGGTTACTTCTCCCCGCTCGTGTTGACGTGCTGCGCTGCTCCCACAGAGACACGCAGACACCACGAGAGCCTTCCTGTGTCCTGGCGCCTTCCTCGAGTGCTGCCTCAGGCTGCTTGGCCCTGAGCTCACCCGAGACGCCCGGCCAGGCCTGCATATGTGAGTGATGGAAACACACAGAGTTTACTGCACCTTTCCAGACGCCGCATCTCTCACCCTACAGGAGTTATCTGTGTTAGACGAGCGATACACAACCTGTGAGCCCAACACTACACCCCAATGGGGCTGCCCCAGGCGGCGACTTCTCACGGCAGTCTCGGAGCCTGTGGCCTCGAGGGTATGGTGAAAGGGTGGCTGATGCTTCTCCTTTTCCCAGGGAGCTTAGACGGCGAAAATCCTGATTGCAAACCTGACTCCAGAACTGTGTGAGACATTTATTGTGAAGCTCCTGGGAATTTACCCTTAGCAGTGAGTATAAGCCTATTTGTAAAGTTGGTTTTATGGCTCCAAACTAATTCTACTTCACATCGGAGGCCAAGGCAGGGCCTTGGGAGGCCAAGCGCACTGCAGCCCTTGCTCTCCTGGCGGCGCTTGGCCTGGGCGCTACTCACTTGAGAGGAAAGATGGATACGTAAACTGTGAGTCCTATTTAAGGAACACAGAGGCAACTATTTATAGAATCTCACAAGACTTGTTTTTTCGGATGAAAACCTCAATTTCCATGCCTTGTTAACTACATGCGCCCCCCAAGGCCCGTAAACTCATGCTAAGGAATTAATCCTCACTGTCCTGGACCCTGTGTTAATTCAGCATAAAAAGGGACCTGGCACCATTTTGTCAGCAACCACAAGAACAAGCCTTTTTACAGCTGAATCCTCAAAATTCATTTGTCAGACTAATGCCAAAAATATCTCCAAGCAGCAGCAAGGGTCTCTCTGACTGCCACTGCTTCACGAAACCTGGCTGCTTTGCAGCTCTCCCCATTTGCTGAGGGCCCCGGTGGGCAGCAGAAACCAGTAAAGGGCTACAGGGGAGGGTGAGGACACACCCCAAGCACCCTGGTTTCCGGGACGGCACCCACGTAGCTCCTGGGAACCTGAAGATGGGGACGACGAAGTCTGTGTACCCCAAAACCATGAGCTGGTGGACACCTGCGGGGCCGGGGCTGCTCATCTGCAACCCTACGGTGAAGGCGCCGAGCTCCCTCACACTAGTCAGACGTGTGACTGAAAGTGAGGCATCTAGTTCCTTTGAGCTTTTTCCTCAGAGAAGATGAGAAACAAGTAAACATAATCTTAGGGGAAGACACACTGTCCTGCTCCGGACGCAGGCAGCTTCCAGACGCCTGAGCTCGGGCTCTTCGTGGCTAGTCCTGAGCGAGTGCTCGAGATAAACGGGGCTCATCTCCCAGCACATAAACTTCTCACCGTGGGTCCGCGGTGTGGACTCATCAGTTCTAAGACAAGTTCTAGGCTTGGAGCAGCTCCAGGTTTGCAGTTTAGAATTTCTCCTTTCTCCCGCAAGCTGTTACAGTGTTGAGTATTTCCAGTTTATTTTTGTCTTTCAATTTCTCACTGGTATAGGCTTGTGCCTTAGTTTCCTTATCTGTTAGCTAAATCTTCTTCAAAGAAATGGCCAAATTCCTCAGTAATAATTCCATCCACCACGTACATACCCAGACGAGGTGCTTAACATATTTAACAGAGGCCTCATTACCAAGGTGTCTTATGAAACACGTCCGTGACAGTGCTCACGTGCAGCTGGCCTGCTCTCACTGCAGCTTCACGCTGCTCCTCTTGATGAACTAAAAATAACCACGTCTGACCAACACCGTAAACAGGCCCGACTCCAGGTGACACTTCCCCGAGGCTAACGCCGAGGGCGGTTTTGCAGCCCCTGGATGTGCTTTCCAAGCAGGCTTCGTCACAGCACTGGGCCATAAAAGAGACCACCTCTTGGAAGCCACACTCCTGAGCTCATCAGATAAAGAGGCCACTCACCACCTATGCCCGGCAGGACAACAGCGAGGCCGTGGCCGAGCTGGGGAGCTGGGAAGGGGTCACAAGACTGGCTTTGTGGAAGCCTAAAGTTAAGTGGTTTGCTGGGCCAAAAAGGACCAGGGAGGCGTCGGAACAAGGACAGGAGACTGAGCGATACCGGAGCGCCTCCTTCCGGGGCCCACCCAAGACCGGCCACAGGCAAAGCCCCGCGGCCGTGCACTGCCACGTGTCCTCCTCCATTCGTTCCCTTTGGGCTCAGCCAGCACCTTTATGTTCCTGCTTGGCCGTCGCCACAGCAGCTGCCCATCTGCCAGTTTCTCTTCAAGTCTTTGATCAAGGTCCTAAGTCCTGACTTCACGAATGTTTGATTTTTCTGGTTGCAAATCTGCCTCAATAGTGGGCAGGAGAGGGAGGTGTGGGGCCTGGATGTGCCTCTTGGCCTGAGAGTCCTGTTGGGGCCCAGGCCAGCACCGCGGTGGGGTCTCATCTTGGCACCAGAGCGCACAGCTCAGCTCGGCCAGCTGCATGTGCAGAGACGGTCTCTCCACAGGGCTGGCCCAGGCGTTTCAACCGAGTGGGATGAGGAATACTATAAGCTCTCTCTTGGCGCTGCCTGGCATGGACGCTCTGCCTGTGCCTGGGGCCGCCTCCTCCGTCTGGCAGGAAGCGGACACATTCTGCAGGTCTACCCTCCTCTTCTCAAGGGGTGACCTTCGGAGAAGAACCTTCCTTACACAGCCGTCGGAGCCAGTAGGACTATTTGAAAACATGAAAGGAGCCAGGAATGTGCCGATGACACAATCTAGAGATTAACAGGCTGGTGAGAACACAGACACTTGGCTCAGGTGACTGGTTTTCTGAGACTAAAAGTAGTTTACCCTGGAAAGACCAGAGTTGACTTATTTTTTTGACGATGTCACCAAACTTACAATCTGAGTTTAGACTGTTACCCCGGACAGGTGCATGGGACTTTTTGGTCAGCTGCAAGGTCGGTTCTAGCTGAACATGTCTCTAGCAACGTGGAGTCTTCTCCTGGCCTTGTGAGGATGAGCATGAGAATGACAGCTGCAGCATTCACATTTTGTTCAACCAATAAAAGTAACTGCCACTGAGTCTACAGAAGGCAGAAACAACCAGAACAAATAAAACCAAAGATCTGTGATGTGACCAGGGCCCGCCCTAGTTCCCCACCCCCAACCTGGCCCCCAGGCCTGCAGTCTGGGGCTCTGGGCGCCTGTCCGGAGGGCGCATGCGCCTCTGTGCAGACGTTGCCCCGGTGGCCTGACAGCTGTGTGGACTCCAACTGTTCCTCTTATAGTTCAGAGAGAGCTTCTAGTTCTTTCTTTTTTTTTTTTTTTAATAACGTGGGTTTAACTTTAGGAAACTTTACTTTGTAAAGTCTGTACCTGAAATGGTGACTTTGATATTGTTTCTAAATCTGAAGTCTATACTAAGTTCCTAGAACTCATTTTTTAATCTGTTAAAAACCTTCCAGGCCCTCCCTGGTGGCGCAGCGGGTTAAAGCACTGCACTGAGAAGCTAAAGCCACTTCCGCATGAGTTCAATTCCCGCCTGCCCCGGAGGTGACCACATGGCGTGGCAGACCTCTCCTGGCCCGCCCGCTGCTCCCCTCAGCAGTGTACTTCGTCGATCTGCCTGTTCTGCTCCCCACTCTGTCTCTGGTGAAGCCTCTCGCCTCCCCTGAGCCTCTGGTCTGTACCCCAGCTCTGTATGCACAAATAAATAAATATTAAAAAAACAAACAAACAAACAAAAAACCTTCCAAAGGTCTGTAGAGCAATGATAAAAGTGAGCCTTCTCAACTTTCCTCCTTCTGGTTAGCTTGCTTGGGCAGTAACATTTTCTCAAAATAACTTATTTTTGCAGATTCATCTTCAAAGAGAGTAAATGACAGAAAAGGGTATTAGCATAAGGTGATTAAATGTGAGTATAAAAGTAGGATTATAAAATCAACAGGTTTTTTAAAGAAGATTTATTTATTTATACATACAGAACTGGGGTACAGGCTAGAGGTGCAGGGGCAGTGAGAGGATTCACCAGAGACAGAGTGGGGGGCAGAACAGGCAGGCTGATGACAAAACTCTCAATTTTCTTCTGAAGGTTCTACCTCCTCCCTTTGCCAGTCCTTCCCGTCTCAGAAATGACACCGCCACACAAATGTGCTGTTACTTCAGCAGAAAACTGTAAATTCCTTTTCATCACCGCTTCCTTCATTTACCCTATGTAACATGAGCAAGTCAGTCACGTTCACCTCTAATATAACTAGAAGATACCTCTAGCTCTACTTGGGCTGAGAATAATTACTCCCTATTTCAGTCCACTCTGCTTATTTCTATCATCAATCTCAATTTAAAACTACTTGTTAACTTCTTCCCCCCAGCCTCCAAAGGAAGCTTGCCCACCTACCAGCTCCTCTGTCCTTGCCTGTTTAGTTCACTGCTGCATTGCCAGCAGCACATGTATGTGCTTCATGCATATTTACAGAATGAAACTCTTTCTAGAAGCAATGACAGACCCTAGACATTTACCTTCATAGCAAATACAGGCATTTAAACCAAATGGTACCTTACAACATCCTGGGAATACCTCAGCATGTATTCCAGCACTCCAAGAATGACCTCTCTCTTTAGGCCCATTACCTAAGAGAGCACAGAGAAGGTTCTGGAGCCTCTGGAAGTGCGGACTGACTTCGGGGTGGAACCAAATCTCAATTCCAGCATAAGTTGGCTCCTCTTGGAGTCATTTAAACCCTCTAAATCTCTTTCCTCATCTGTCACTGGAAAAACACTGATCCTGAGGTTAAATGATACCTCAGGTTAAATGGAGAGAGGCTTCCACAGTGCTCTCACAGATGAAAGCATTCACGAGGCCCAGTCCAACTCTTTCTGTTCTAAAGTGGAGCACTCGAATTGGTAGGCACGGAAATGAAGATCTGATGTAGAGCGGGGTTTATTTTTAAACTTCCATATGCCACAGCCATCCCCTTTCAGTGGGGAAGGGCAGCGACTAGCCTGGGCTGCCAGGAGAATGCCAAAGGAGAGCGGGGAGAAGGCCGGGCTGCAGCCGGCTGATCTGTGTGAACACTGGCTCTGATCATACCTTGCAGGGAGTGGCATGATTCACTTAATCTCTGTAAGTTTTCTCCCTGTGTGTGATATGGAAGAGTCCTTGCTTAGGTATAGCCCTCAGGGACAACAAAGACATGCTCCATCGAATTCAGCTTTATAGATCCAAAAGCTGGAGCAGAGAGCACGTAAGTAATTTGGGCCTGACAGTCATTATACACCAGAGGTGGTAAAGACAGAAACTCCAGACAACAAGGTGAATTCTCTCAGGTGTGGAAAAAATGAGCAACTACTCATGTAAGGTGCTACTTAAAAAAGGCAAAAGGCTCTTTTAATCAACCTTTCAGATTCCGGCTGGTCAAATATAGTAGCTGAGATGCCTCAAGGAAAATGAAACGAGTTTCTCCAATGTTATCAGCATTGGTAAGCAGCATTTATAAAACTTCTCATTTCTGTTTTCCTGGCTGTTTGCCAAAGCTCCAAGAATGTGAGCAACATGTCCAATCGCAACGGCAGAGATGGCTGGGAGAGAGGGCCTGACTACAAGAACATGTACCAGTATTTTGTTTTTATAATTGCTGCTCTAGTGCAAACTCCCAAGAACTGCTGGAATGCGCTGTTCTGGAATGCCTCGAGAAAAGGCCCACTGGGTGTGTAGGAGTCAGAACCCAGCTACAGTTTTTACTTGCAGAATCATCAGACTCTTTCAGAATGGAAAAGCTGGTTAGCTTCCTTTCTCCACCAAGAAGTCTTGTTCCAGTTCTTTTAAGACTTCAACATTTAAATGCCTGCTATCGTGAGGATACAAATAATCAAAATAGAGTCGCTGATTCTTTTGGTCAAGACCAGATTCCCTGTCAAGAGTAAATGAGTGCTGTGCTTGTGACTGAGTGCTGTGACGGGGCTCGCGAGAGGCCCCTCTTGTACGACTTGGGAAAAACCGTACCTACAGGGAGTGATTCCACATGTGAGATGGAGAAATTACCTTCTGCATTATGTATGAGATTTGCTTCTGAAATCTTTTTTTGCTACAACTACCAAGAAGGAGGTAAAGATGAAGTCTCTGAAGAGAGATGCTAAGTTCTTTGGGAAGTACTACCTTTTTTTCCTAGTCACTGACCCATCAAAGTTCATATATGTACTCCATGAAATAGATCCTATCGCCACAGCAGCCCGCTTCAAACACCTACTTCCATCCTGCTGCCTTAAACTCAGTCCCGGGTCCCAAGTCTTTCTGGCCGGGGATCTACTGTGAGGCTCTGTGAGGAGAGGACTGGAACCAGGGTAGCCGGAGGCGTCACGGGAACAGAACTAGTAGTAAGACTAACACCCTCCTGACAGATGTCATCTGGGTCTGCACGCGAGCAGCCTGCACAGAGCCAGCTTGTGTTTCCATTCTGGGCCCTCTCCTTCCCCCAGCCTTTGACAGCACGAAGAAATCCTTGCCTTAAGCATATTCAGTAGTAATATAAAATTTCTAAAGAGGAAGGTCAGAGATGCTGTTTGTAAAATGAAACTGGGTTGCAGAGAGTAAACTCAGACTGGGCTTCTGTACGATACCTTTAACAACATATTAGGCACTAAACTTTAATATGAAAGAGAAAATAAGATTCCAGTCTTAGGACAAAATTCAGCTTCCCAAATACCTAACTCCACTTCTCCTGTAATCTACTAAGCAACCATCAGCACAAACCACGGTATCAACAAAGCAAAGAGAATGCTCACCTCCATTTCATACATCGGGGGACCGAGGATGTCTTTCAGTGCGTGGAAATCAATCAAAATAGGCATTTCAGGTGGTAGTGACAGGTCAGTAGTATCACTGAGAGATTCTGGTTTGGCATCATCTACGATTTGTTCTCTGAAACCTAAGAGAAAAATATTTAGAAATCTCATAAATTTGGTTTGAAAATTAGGAGGAATAGTATCAGTCTGGTGGACTAATAAAAAAGTTCAGTTGCCTAAATGCATTCACTTTGTGAATTTCTCCAAAACTTATGCAGAAAAATGAGTCTTTCAAGAGCCCCTGGAAGGTGTCTGGGCACACTGCCCTTGGCACTATCTGCCAGCCGGTCACTGGGGCTGCAGCCGTCAACGCCGGTGGCACTACTCAATGAATGGCCCGCTGGGGTCGTGTCTCAAAGGGTCAAAGGCAACAGGCTGCCTGTGCAGTTCTCTGCTAGATCAACATAACTCACTTTTCAATTCCCTCTTCATAGGTCTCATCTGGTACCCCGTATTCCTTTTATTTTTCTTATATATATATATATTTAATATTTATTTATGTCTACAGAACTGGGGTACAGGCCAGAGGTGCAGCGGTGGTGACAGGCTTCACCAGGGAGAGAGTGGGGAGCAGAACACGCAGATCGATGAAGGACACTGCTGAGGGGAGCAGCGGGCGGGTCAGGAGAGGTCTGTCGCACCATGTGGTCACCTCCCAGGCCAGGGATCGAACTCACACTGAAGCGGCTGCCAGCTTGCAGTGTTGTGTCCTAACACACTGCTCCACCAGGGAGAGCCCCTTGTATCTGTTTTCTAATAGGAAATGTGGACTTAGAAATAAGAGAACTGGGCCCTCCCTGGTGGCACAACGGGTTAGGATACAGCATTGCAAGTTGGCTGCAGCTGCTGTAGTGCGAGTTTGTTCCC